AAAAAATAACTCTTGATTTCCACTCCATCCTGCATCACTTCAAGCCTCCTTGCCTTCTGGGCTTCCCCATCTCATGAGATCACCGGGGTGCCCAGGTCCACTCCTGGCACCTTGCTGCCTCTCTTTTCTTTCCCTCACATTTAGTCACTAGCTAGCCTCCCAGGCTCTCCTTTTACCATGTGTCTTCTTTTCTTTTTTGAATTGAGGTCTCACTCTGTTGCCCAGGCTCGGGTGCAGTGGCCTGATCAAGGCTCACCAGTCTCCGACTCCTAGACCCAAGCAATTCTTCCACCTTCGCTTCCCCAGTATCTGGGACTATAGGCGCACACCATCATGCCTGGCAATTTGTTTATTTATTTATTTTTTTTGTAGCAATGAGGTCTCACTATATTGCCAACTGTGGTCCCAAACTCCTGGGCTAAAGTGATCCTTCTGCCTCAACCTCCCAAAGTGCTGGGATTATAGCCATTGAGCCACCACACCTGGTTTTACCATATATTTTGATTTGGCACTTTCTCTCATTTGCATAGCCTCGAACATTATTGTTTGTGTCATCTTAGAAACTATATATAAGAATTTCTGTTGGGTATCTACCAAGGAGCAGACCTGCTAAATCAAATACTAAGTGTGTATTCAGCTTCAATAGATAGTTCAACACAGATCTTCAAAGTGGTTATAACCACCAGTATTATATGAGCATTCTGGTTGTTCATATTCGTACCAAGTTTGGATGTTATCTTTTTAACTGTAATAATTCTGATGCCTGGCAGGACTATTGCATAGTGATTTTAATTTGCATTTTCCTGATGACAGATGGAATCGAGCACCTTTCATGTGTTCATTGGCCACTCGATGATCTTCTTTTATAAAGTGCCTGTTCAGGCCCTGTGTCTCTTGTCCTATTGAGCAGTGTGTCTTTTCTGATTGATTAGTGGCATTCTTTATGTGTGGGCAGTCTGTTGTGTGCTGGATATATAATTGTAAATATCTTCTTGACCACTCTATGCTTGCCTTTTCATTTGGTTCATGGTATATCTCAATGAACAAAATTTCTTAAATTTTAGTATAGTACAAATTATCATTCTTTTATTTTATGATTAGTAATTTTCATGCCCTCTTTAAGCAATTTTTGCCTATTCCAGTATCACAAAGATATTATCTGTTCTCTTCTGAAAGTTTCTTGTTTCACCTATCCATTTAGAGCCATATGAACTAGCCATATAGCCACTTAGATTATGTAGTCTGCTGTATATAGTCTAAAACGCAGGGGTCAAGATTCTTTTTCTTCCTTATGAATATCCGGCTGACCCAACACAATTTTTTGAAAAGGTCATCCTTTCTGCATTATTAGAATGACCTTTTTTGATGTTTGTTTGTTTGCTTGTTTGTTTGTTTGTTTGAGTTGAGGTCTCACTCTATCACCTGAGCTGGAGTGTAGTGGCACGATCATGGCTCCCTGCAGCGTTGACCTTCTGGACTCAGGTGATCCTTCCCTTCAGCCTCCTGAGTAACTGGGACTATAGGCAGGCACCAGCCTGCCCACCTAATTTTTTAATTTTTTTTGTAAAGATGTGGTGTCACTATACTGCCCCAGGCTGATCTCCAACTCCTGAACTCAAGGAATCCTCTCACCTCAGCCTCCCAAAGTGCCAGGATTACAGGCATGGACCACCACGCCTGGCTTAGAGTGACAGTTTTCTCCAACCAGATCATGAAATTCCCCTGCCTAAATTCACACCTCCTGCCAGGGATTACCTACCAACATCTGCCTCTCTCGGCTTCCTTTCACTGCTTCTTTCCCCTCTGCTGTGGAAACACTGACCTCCATGCCATCCTTCAGCTGCTGAGTGCACTGTTGCCTTGAGCTTTTGCATGGGGGATCCTCGCACTGAATCTCCTCCGCTTCTGACCCTGGGTCACTTTTCTCTGCAGTCAGCTTTCTGCCCAAATGTCCCTTCCTTGGCTCCTAATATTAATAAGTAAATGCCGTATAAAAGTCCTCTGCATAGGTTTGGTGTTATTTATCACATCTCCCACACTATGTAAAACATGGGAAGGAATTGTATCTTACTTGCTTTTGTGTGTCTTGTTGAGCTCCACCAGGATCCTGAGTACAGCACAGCACATGAGAATGCATCGCATTTTCTGTTTTGTCTGTATCAGCCCAGATCATCCAGACTGTGATATAAATATTTCATAATTTTGATGAGCTGTGGTGGGACAGCACCTTTTTGTACGTTTTAGAAAGTGAGTGATAAGCAACATTATAGCTTAGGATGTGTGAACTCACTTCATTTATTTGTTTGTTTGTTTGTTCATTTATTTATGTTTGAGTCGGAGTCTCACTCTGTCACCAAGGCTGGAGTGCAGTGGCATGCTTATGGCCACTGCAGCCTCAACCTGCTGAGCTCAGGTGATCCTTCCACTTCTGCCTTCCAAGTAGCTGGAACTATAGGTGTGTACCACCATGCCCAGCTAATATTTTTGATTTATTGTAGAGACAAGGTCTCGCCATATTGCCCATGCTGGTCTCGAACCTGTAGGCTCAGACAATCCTCTTGTCTCAGCCTCTCAAAGTGCTGGGTTTACAGGTGTGAGCCACCGTGCCTGACTTGAACTCACTTTAACTGTTTCACATGGAAATAACACCTAGGCTGAGCCCAAATGACTTTTATATGTTGGCTAAAAGTGACTTCATGCAGTCAGGTCCTGTTTCTCCTCTCCCAGTGATACTAATTGTGTTTCACATTTATAGAGCTGTGTTTTCTCTAGGCATTCTACAGTCTACGTGAATGACTCTCATTGACCTACTTCCTAATATTGGGCTATTCTGGGGCTACATGCATATAATAAAATTTATTTTTCAGCAAGATTCGGATCTACCTTTCATGTGTTTATTTGTTCATTTTTTGCCAAGGCATTTATTTCACCAGTGATTGTATTTGTCTTCCTTCTCTTAAAGTCTTATACTAATGTCTGACACACATGACTCTTCTGTTAATCATCAAATATCATAAAATTACAGAACAGAAAGAGACTTTTAAGATCATCTTATCCAGCTATGAAAGGATCATTAGGCCTGCAATTCCAGCTACTTGAGAGGCTGAGGTGGGAGGATCACCTGTGCCCAGGATTTTAAGGCTGCAGTAAGCTATGATCATACCACTGCATACCAGACTAAGTGATAGAGCAAGACCCTGTCTCAAAAAAAAGGGGGGAGAAACTATTTATCTTCTTAATGTAATTTTGTTAAATCGTCAGGTATGGTGGCTCACACCTGGAGTCCCAGCACTTTGGGAGGTGGAGGCAAGAGGATTGCCTGAGCCCAGTGGTTCAAGACCAACCTGGGCAACTTGACAAAACCTCATCTCTACAACAGATCAAAAAATTAGTCAGGCATGGTGGCGCACGCTTGTAGTTCCAACCACTTGAAAGGCTAAAAGCAGAAGGATCATCTGAGCCCAGCAGGTCAAGGCTGTGGTGGCCATGAGCACTCCAACCTGGGTGACAGAGTGAGACTCCAACTCAAAAAAAAAAAGAAAAGAAAAAGAAAAAAGTATCATTGGATCAATTGATAGAATATAGTTTGTAGATCAAAGAATTACATCTATGATTAATTTTCTGAAACTGATAAATGTGATAAGGGTGTATGAGAAAGTATCCTTATTGTTAGGAAAAGCACATTGCAGTATTTAGGAATAAAGGTACCATGATTTATACAACTTACTCCCAAGTGGTTCAGGAAAAATCATGTGTATATGTGTGTGTGCACGTGCTTATGTGTTCATGTACAGAGAGGAACGCAGGGCAGATTATACACCAATGTGGCAAAACATTAACAGCAGTTACATTTAGGTAAAGGACATATTAGTGTTATTTGTACCACTCCTATAACTTTTCTGTAAGTGTGAAATTATTTCCACATAAACAGTTTAGGAAATTATCTCACCCAGCCTCTCAGGAGAAACATCCAGTCCTCATGCCACAAAGGTGAAGTAACTTTCCCAGTCACAGTCACCCAGGAGTTGAAGACAGAATTGACTCTCAGTGCAGTATGCTCCGTGACGGTGTGTTGTTGCCTGCTTGACTAGAAATGGTTCCTGGCTGTAATCCAGTACAGGGCCAGGGATCCTGCCCTGAGGTTCACTGGACAAAGCCAAGCTTGCATATTTCTGATATTGTTTCGAGTGTCTTTAAAAAATATTTTTGACTGGGTGCAGTGGCTCATTCCTGTAATCCCAGCACTTTGGGAGACCAAGGCAGTAGGATTGCTTGAACCCAGAAGTTCAAGACCAGTCTGAACAATAGAGCGAGACCTTGTCTATACAACAAAAAAATTTTTTTTTCTTTTTCTTTTTTTTTTTAAGCCAGGATCTCACTCTGTTGCCCAGGCTGGAGTACAATGGCACAATAAAAGCTCACTGCATCCTCAACCTCCTGGACTCAGGCGATTCTTATACTTCAGCCTCCTGAGTAACTGGGACTACAGGCATGCATCATCATGCCTGGCTAATGTTTTTATTTTTATGGAGACAAGGTCTTGCTGTGTTGTCCAGGTTGGTCTCGAACTCCTGGGCTCAACGATCCTTCTGCCTCAGCCTCCTGACTAGCTGGGACTGCAAGGACAACCTGGATAATTTCTTAAATTATTTAAAAATTATCAATTATTGACATTTTTTAAGAATTAGCTGAGTGTGGTGGTGTATCCCTGGAGTCTCAGCTACTCAGGAGGCTGAGGCTGGAAAATCGCTTGAGCCCAAGAGTTCAAGGCTGCAGTGAGCTATGACCACCCAACTGCACTCCAGCCTGGACAACAGAATGAGACCCTGTCTCAAAAAAATAAAATAAAAGGTACTTTTGCTTTATTGTGGTCAGCCTTACAACCTCCAGCCCCTCTGTTACCTAGACACCCTGTTACTAGATACGCCACCCCTTGTAAGGAGACATGCCTGTGTTTGCATTGTAACAAACGGTGGTTTTGTTCTTCTGTTTCTTGATAGCTACTGCTTCTTGGGATACCTTTCTCATGCTATGGAATTTCAAGCCACAAGCTAGAGCCTACAGATATGTGGGTCACAGGGATGTTGTGACCAGCGTGCAGTTTTCTCCGCATGGAAACTTATTGGCCTCTGCCTCGCGAGACAGAACCGTGAGACTCTGGATTCCTGATAAGTAAGAGAAAACAAAGAAACACTTGATGTGCTTTGGATTTGGAAATGTGAAAGAAAGCAGGAGCTAGGCACTCCCCGGCACTCCTGGGGGTTGCTAGACTCCCAGGTACCCACCTGCACTGTGTTTGTTTCAGTCACGTACGAGGTATGCTGCCCTTGCTGTAAAGTCAAAGTGTTTCATACAGTTTCCCTCATCTCGAACACATAATTATGTCTTTTTGAGAAAACTGTTTTTAACCATGGAAATATGTCTTAAATGTTTTGGGGGGTAGTGGTTGTTACCAGTCCCTTTGTGGGTCTGAGGAAAGCTTTAGATCGTCTCCCCAGAAAGACACACATTGGCACGTTATCACTGAAAGTTTATAGTTTATTGACCTCCTAACGCCCACTCATGGATCCTTTAGGGACCCTTGGATTCCTATTGGAAAGCCCTGGGCCAGAAGTATTCTTTGATTTGTATCACTCATCCTTGGGCTCCAGAATTTCCTTATGAAAGAAACTTTGACTAAAGTATAAATCCTTGCATTGTGTAAGCCATATCCTGTGATAACAAATTTCTCTACAAGAGATTTTCAGCTGGGCTTGGTGGCTCAGCCTATAATTCCAGAACTTTGGGAGGCTGAGGCGAGTGGATTACCTGAGCCTGCGGGTTGGAGACCAGCCCAGGCAACTTGATGAGACCTCATTTCTACAATAAATAAATTTTAAAAATTACCTGGGCATGGTAGCGCACACCTGCAGTTCCAGCTACTTGGAGGGCTGAAGCGGATGAATCGCAAGAGCCCAGCAGGTCAACACCGGGGTGACCATCAGCATGCCACTGCACTCCAGCCTGGGCGACAGAGTGAGACTCTGACACACACACAAAAAAAGATTTTCAAACCCTAGTTGATAGCCCACCTATTTCAAAAAATTATTGAGCCATGTTTTTTTTAAATTTTTAAGCTTCCAAGTATGTGCATTTTCAAGCTTACATGAGAAGAAAATGAGTAGTGTGACCCCGTGTGCCACCAACAAGCTTCACCTGTCAGTACTCTGCCACGTATCCCACCCCCTTTTCTTTCCTGGTTTGTTTCTAGGACAAATCCCAACATTGTATCATCTACCCCCATAAATACTTCTGCGGATAAGAGCTTGGGCATTTTCCTTGGCCCTGCTGTGGCAGGATTTGGTTTATAACCTGTGACTGCACATGTTCAGGCACTCCCAAATAAAGGAAAGCTCACGGGTGCTCTCCTGCCAGTGGGCGCTTTTTTCTGCCATCACCCAGGTGAAACTCCATGCTGCAAAATCTGGATATTATCCTGACGGTGGCAAGAACCAGTGAAGAGGTGCGACCTATCCTAATGATCCTGTAAACGGGAATGTGGAAAGGAGTTACAGGGAAGAAGAGGCTGGTATGGGGTCCAGGAGAAGTATGTTCCCAAACCCTCAACTTTGCAAGGTTAGAACAAGCTATTGTTGGGTTTTGTTTTTTCTTTTTTCAGCATAGCATAGCTTCAGTCTCCCATTACTAATTCAAGGATATCTCAGTGAACAAGTTGATGAGCTAAAGGCATACTGAGTGATTAATTTATCATTGCTAATCTAAGTGCAGTGATTAGGCTTGTGTAGATGTCTCCAATTTTTCTTTGTCTCTCTCTCTTTTCTTTTCTTTCTTTTTTTTTTTTTTTTTTTGAGTTGGGTTCTCTGGTGCCCAGGCTGGAGTACAGTGGCATGCTCATAACCACCACAGCCTCGACCTGCTGGGCTCAGGCGATCCTTCTGCCTCAGCCTTCCAAGTTGCTGGAAATACAGGCTAGCATCACCATGCCCAGCTAATTTTTTGATTTATTGTAGAGACAAGGTCTCGCCAAGTCGCCCAGGCTGGTCTCAAACCCTGGACTCAGGCAATCCTCTCACCTCTCTCTGCCTTCCAAAGTGCTGAGATTACAGGCATGAGCCACCATGTCTGGCCCAATTTTTCTTTCTAAACATGTTCTCATGGGGCCAGAGCAGTGGTGGATCTTGGTGACAGGTGGAACCTGATGTGTCCATTTCCTGTTGCCACATGACATTCCCCAAGACTTAGACCTTTGGATAAAAACAATCTCTCCTCACACTTGTGATGGTTCCTCTGCCCCGTTTGGCACTGCAAAACCTCCACTGAGTCAGCGGCTGGGCTGGACAGGTCTAGTACCTGTCACCATTGCATGGGGACTTGCAGGCTGTCACCCGGGCACCTTGGTTTTCCATGGCGCTCTCTCTAGCAGGGTAACCGAACTCTCTTACAGGACAGCTGGGTCCTAGAAGCTGTTAGATGTTTTGAGGGCTAGGCCTGAAATTTACATTGTTGCCTCTGCCACATTCTGTTGCTCAAAGTAAAGTCACAACAGCAGCCCAGATTCAAGCAGAGGAGAAAGAAACAGATTCCACCCCCTGGGAGCAGGAGTGGCACACATGTACTGGGATGAGAGACATGTCGTCAGTGGGGGCTGGAAGGCCAAAAAAGAATAGGCTGGAGCAAGCATGAGGGCAGGTCCGGCCCCCACTTTGCCCCAGCTGGCAGACAAGAGATTGTGGTAGAAAGGTTAGGTGACTCTGGGAGGAAGACAGCCCATATTAAAGTAAGAATAGGAGCCAGAAACCAGGTGCGCACCAGTACAGCAAACAGCAGGCACCATGTCTCGGTTTCCTGTGTGCTTCCTGTTGTGAGTATAGCCCACAGCTGAGAACAGGGCAGCCTGCAGGGTGTGAAGGGCAGGCCTGAAGACAGGCAGGTTTTTGAAGATACTGACTGTCTCTTGCCTTCCTGGTCATTGCAGATGCCAGGCCTTTTCTTTGTTTTCTGTTGGCCTAATGCTTGAATTCAGGCCAAACTAGACTCCTGATTTCTACTCAGAGAACTCTCCCTTGTAGCCTCCCTGAATTAGCCCCTGAATGCTCCCTCCTCATTTTTGTTTGATTTATTTCAGTTACTCCTGATGTCATTTCATATGTCAGGTGATGACACTTGTGATGGTCACCTTTGCCTCCTACGGGCCACTGGAAAGTTAGCTGGGTTGGATCCAGAGTCTCACTCTGTAGCCCAGGCTGGAGTGCAGTGACTTGCTCACAGCCATCGTAGCCTCAACCAGTTGGGCTCAGGCAATCCTTCCACTTTAGCCTTTCAAGTAGCTGGAACTACAGGCATGCGCCACCAAAACCCAGCTAATTTTTTGATTTTTATTGTAGAGGTAAGGTCTCGCCAAATTGCCCAGGCTGGTCTTGAACTCGTGGACTCAGGCAGTCCTCTCACCTCGGCCTCCCAAGGTGCTGGGATTATAGGTGTGAGCCACCATTCTGGCCTTTTTTTTTTTTTTTTTTTTTTTTTTTTTTGAGTGGGATTTCACTCTCTCATCCAGGCTAGTGCATTGGTATGATCATGACTTATCACAGCCTTGACCTCCTGTGCTCAGGCAATCCTTTTGCCACAGCTTCCTGAGTAGCTGGGACTATAGGCGTGTGTTACCATATCTGGCTAAATTTTTTATTTTTTGTAGAGACAGAGTCTTGCTGTGTTGCCCAGGCTGGTGTCTAACTCCTGGGCTCAAGCAATTCTCTAGTCTTAGCCTCCCAGATTACAACTGGCTAAGAAACTTTAAACATTGACTACTCCTAGTAGAATTCAACAAAATGTATTGAGACTTTTCACATCCCTGGCATTGTGCTAGATGTTGGTCTTATACAGAGGAATGAATCATCATTCCTTACCTCAAAAACCTATTCTTAATAGGAGAGAAACAAGTCTGTTTTTTAAAAGTTGCTATATAGGCCAGATGTGATTGCTCATGCCTATAATCCCAGCACTTTGGGAGACCGAGGTGAAAAGGATTGCCTGAGCCCACAGGTTCAAGACCAGCCCAGGCAACTTGACGAGACCTCATCTCTACAATAAATAAAAAAACTAGCTGGATGTGGTGGCACACATCTGTAGTTCCAGCTACTTGGAAGGCTGAGGTAGAAGGACCGCCTGAGCCCAGCAAGTCGGGGCTGCAGTGGCTGTGAGCAGCATGCACTGCACTCCAGCCTGGATGACAGAGTGAGACTCCAACTCAAAAAGATAAAAGTCACTGTATAATGTAGTAAGTAAAATAGTCATAGCAAATCAGAAGCGATTAAGCCTGCCCAGCTTGGGGCAGAGGGGCTTGGGATGGAGAGACAGTTCAGCCTAGGAGAGGGTAGACGCAGGGTGGGTGTGTGAGGCACTGGAACTATTGTTCTAAGTACAGAGGTCAGCATGGTGGGAGACGCCTTGCCAGCGAACCTGGGCACTGCGCTTTCTGTTAGAGGTGAGTCAGTGACACGTTTACACTGGGATTTACATACTTGGAGTTACGCTTTTAGTCAGGTAAGAATCGCAGGACATAGGTGACCAGGAGGGGGTGAAAGATTGGAGCAGGAGACCAGCAGAGGGGCTCCTCAGTAACCTTGGTGAGGGATGCTGAGGATGTGTCTACCTTAAGGCAAGCAGAGCCAGGCAGGAGGAAGAGGAGATTCAGAATATTCTAGAAGGGACAGCATTATTGTTTGTAGATCTACCGGATGTGGGAGGAGAGAAAGCAGGAGGAGTGGAGTGGGACTTCCAGGACTTGGGCTTGGATCTGTGGATGTTGCTCCAACCAACCAGCCCAATGCAGGGTGAGGTGTGTGTGTCCGCGAGATCAGTGTGAACACTGGCGGATCTGAGACAGGTGCATTGTGTTCACTAAGTCCTGCTGCCTCATCTTTTTCAAGTGGTTATGGCCATTTTCCCCATGGGTATCACCTGTGTAAATATGACTTGCTAAGCGGGACACTTTCTGAGTCCTAGATGTACAGTAAGGGGAAGAAAGTGCCTTGGGAACTGGGAGCCTGGTACAGAGTAGCGTTGCCCGAGCAGCACCATGCATACGACCCAGTGCTATCTAGCCCGCTCCTGCTTGAACTGGTTTTCTGCTGCTTCTCAGAGGGCTCACACTCTTTTCTCCATCTATTTTCTAGTCCCTTTTTCCACCCTAGTCAAGGGGGAAATGCATCTGACATTTTCAGGTGTTGAGAATTGAAATGTGTTGTTCCCACATAGCCTTTGGGTCATGCGAGTGTAAGATGGGCCTTTAGGGTGAGCAGGCCTCAGGTCCACTTGGGGGCTCAGGCACACATAGGATCTTTTTGTGGGTAGATGGAGGCTGAGGTGGGAACAGGAATGTCCAGCCACCTGGGGACATGTCTTGTGCAGGCAGGTGATGTAGGAGACTTCTCCTTCCCTCCCCAGACTCCTAGGCCAGGCAACTCCTAGAAACCTCAGTTTGAAAATCACCTTTGCACCATTGATTTAATCAAGCTTAGCTTTCCTAGGTTGCAAGTTCTTTAAACTGTATATTGCCATTTTTAGAGGAATACTAGGAACTGAAAATGCAAAGCAGAGATGTATTATGTTATCTTTCTAGCTTCTCATGAAAACAAAAACAGCAAATGCATTTCAAGTGGGGACAGCTACGGTCTCTTTTTTCTGAGTTGGGGTCTCACTCTGTCTCCCAGGCTGGAATACAGTGGCACTATCACAGCTCACTATGGCCTCGACCTTCTGGGCTTAGGCGATCCTTCTTCCTCAGCCTCCCATGTAGCTGGAACTACAGATGCACGCTCTCATGCTGGCTAATTTTTTGAATTTTTTGTAGAGATGAGGTTTCGCTATGCTACCCAGGCTGGTCTTGAACTTCTAGTCTCACGCAATCCTTCCACCTTGGCTTCCCAAAGTGCTGGGTTTACAGGAGTGAGCCATTGTACCCGACTTGGTCTTTTTTAGTTAAGTATCAGATGTGACTTGAATGAACAAAACTGGTATGAAACAGTGTTGATGAAGAGTACAGTGCAACCCAGACGTACCACACTGCTATTAGGTTTTGCAAGAGTTAAACACTGTGCATTTCAGAGTCTGTGCAGTGGTGAAATATTAATGCTAATTAAATGAGTTGTAAATATTAAGCTCTTTATTTCCAGAAGAGGGAAATCCTCAGAGTTTAAAGCTCACACAGCTCCAGTTCGAAGTGTGGACTTTTCGAATGATGGCCAGCTTCTGGTGTCAGCTTCTGAGGACAAGTCCATCAAAGTGTGGAGCATGTACCGCCAGCATTTCCTGTTCTCCCTGTACCGACACACACACTGGGTACGCTGCGCCAGGTGAGTGCAGGAGGCCCCAAGAAGGGGTTCATGGTAGTTGTCAGCTGTGTTTGCCCCAACCTCCAGAAAAGGGGATTGGAGGCAAATATTTTCTTCCACTCAGCAAATGTTTATTGTGTGACCATAATAGACAGAAAACACCTAAGACAAATTAAATTTAACAGAGTGTAATTGAGCAAAGAATGACTCATGAATTGGGCAGCCCCCTGGGTAGGCCCAGGAGGTTTATGGACAGAGAGAAGAATGGAAGTGAGGGGCACACAGCCCGATGGCTGCATCTCAGCGTTTGCCTTATTTGAACCCATTGGCCACCTGTGGCCAAAACTCGGTGACTGGCACAAGAGTAGGCTAGTCTGTGTACACATCCAGTTAAATGACAGTTCACCATGTCAAAGGTGACAGAGAAACTTCTAGGTCAAATCCAAAATATGCAAGCTGGCAGTTTGGGGCTAAGCTTAATTTAACAACTGCTACATGCTGGGAACACTAGTAAGCAAAATAGTCAGAAACCTTTGCTCTTATATTTAATAGAGACAGACAGTAAGCAGGTAGGAAAATAGATATAGCAGGTCAATAGTAAGCAACTTGGAGGAAAATAGAGCCAGGTAGAGAAAGGGCAGCAGCATTAAACACAGCCTTCAGGGCTTGCCTCACAGCAAGGTAGCACAGAGACAAAGGCAGGAAGGAGGGAGGCTTGAGGGAGTTCTTGGATAGAGAACATGGGTGGAGCCTGTGGCTGTGTGAAGAAAAGGTAGAGCCTGTGGCTGTGTGAGGAAAAGCTAGGAATGACAGGGGCTGGCAGAGGCCTAGAGGGAGGCCGCTGGGTCAGGATGAGGTATTGCACACCCACCTCTCTGACCTGCCTTCCCATGGGCCACTCTGACTGCTTGTGGAGGATACAGCCAAGACCCAGCCAGGCACAGGGCCCTTGCTAGGAGGCAGATGCAGTATAGGCCCTGGCTAGAAGCAAGGTGGTGGCGGTGGAGGTCGAGCAGTAGTTGGGTTCTAAACAGAGGCTGGAGTCACACCTGGCAGAGAAATAGCATCAGGAAGGGTCCCTGGCCTTTGGCAGCAGCCTGTGGGTAGCGAGTGCTGCTGCAGGTGTAGTTACTTCCTGCCAGCAGGTCGGGGCTACCCCCATTTTGCAGATGAGGAAACTGAGTTTCAGAGAAGTGAAGTTAGGACTCCTCTGGTTGAAAGTGACAGAAACCCACATAGGTTCTCTTTCTTGACACCTCAGCTGCAGAAGACTCAGGCTAACCAGCGTGTGAAATTACACCCACTGGTTCTGGAAAGAACTGTTGGCCCATGCCATCCAACAATGAATGTACACAAAGGCATGAGTTATATGGTAGTCAGTGGGCTGGTGTGCTTGGAGTGGGAGAGAAGGTCGGAACCAGTGACCAGCACAGCCAGTGTCGGTGTCGTGTCCCAAGGCCTCTCTGTACGCCGGCCTCCCCACTTCCCCCCCACAGGCTGATGCCGAGTCCCTCCAGCTCCAGACTTCTGTCCTCATAGCCATCGCTCCCAGCTCCAGTTAGAAAGCCCCCGGTGACCTGCCCAACATGCAGCCTGCGCCTTCCTTCCGCATGGTAGGGAGGTAGTGCGTTGGCTGCTGTGTAGGGCAGGGGCCAGGGAGGAGGGGTGGCTCCAAGCACCTGCTCCAGGCTGTGGAGGGCAGGGGGTGGAGAACAGGTCCCACAAGCAAGGGGCATGGCACAGACACGGTCACATGACCCTGCAGCTCCTGCTTGGTTCCTGAGGTGTGAGGTCACAAGCCCATGTCCCCAGTTAGGGGCGGGAGTTGGCGCCTCACTCTATCTAGCCTCAGAGCCCACACTCCTCCCGCCTGCTAGGATCTCAGGGGACACCGTTGCTCAGAAGGTGCTACTGGCAATCCAGGTAATGAGCCTTCAAAGAGTGAGAAATGGTAGGCAGGAGGCCATACATTTAGTCCATTGTATTTACTTATTTACAGTTGAGGTCTTGCTCTGTCACCCAGACTGGAGTGCTGTGGCACACTTGTGGCTCACCACATCCTCAACCTCCTGGTCTCAGAGAATCCTCCCACCTCAGCCTCTAGAGAAGCTGGTCTTACAGCCATGTGCCACATCAGCCGATTAATTACTCTTGATTTTTTTGTAGAGACAAGGGCTTGCTATGTTATCTAGGCTGATCTCGAACTCCTGGGCTCAAGCAGTCAGTCCTCTTGCCTCGGCCTCCCAAAGTGCTGGGATTACAGGTATTTTAAATTTATTGTAGAGACAACTCACCAAGTTGTCTAGGCTGGTCTCAAACCTCTGGGCTCAGGCAGTCCTCTTGCCTCCACCTCCCAAAGTGCTAGAATTACAGGTGTGAGCCACCTCACCCAGATTGGTGTGAAATTGTTATCTTCCAAAGATTCCTTTAATAAGCGTGGCCCCTGCTGTGTGCCGTATACCTGTATTAAGGACTTAGGAAGGAAAGACACAGTCTTGGCCTCAAGGAGCTTATGGGTCAGTGGAAAAAAAGTGGATTCCAAAGAATGATAAAATGTGTATCCTGTGGCAAAAATGATACACCAGATGACAAGGGAGTGAGTGAGTGAGGCCAGGCATTAGATTTGTGTAAGAAAACATCAAGGAAGACATCCCAGACCAGAAATGAGGGAATGGCAGGGAAGCAGAGGCAGCCGCCAGTGCACGGGGGAGGAGGGAGGACACACAGTCCCAGGGAGCCCAGCTGGTGACCCACGAAACATGGTATGCACTGGGACATGAATGAGCAGCTGTCGTCAGGACGCAAGTAGTGTAGTGGGGCAGGATGATCCCACAGTCACATGCCCATCTGCATGGTTTCTGGGAGGTGTTCACTTCCTGCTCTGGCTCCAAGGTCCTTGTGCACCCGAGGCTTCTCCAGGGTCCATGGAGAGAGGAGGAATGTCAGTTGAGGTGCTCGGGATGGAGTAAGCCATGAGACTGCCCCTCCTCCAGCTGCCTAGGAAGAAACTCTGGAGGTGCAGAGAAGCTCGTGGAGGCTGCTGGAATGTTCTCCATCCACGGGAGAGGAGAAGGCGATGGCGGGCGTCTGCCCTGCTGTCTGCCTGGCATCCATGCCATCCTCTGGTGGCAGTGCATGAGCTTGCCGGTGGAGCCCTCCTTCCCTGGTCCCTCTGGGTGGCACAGGTTGGAGTGGCCCTGTCTCCAGCTCAGGCTCACCTGGGAACATGGCATCCCCCCACAAGAGGCATCTTGCTGGAACCAGGCCTTTCCTCTTGAACTTCAGGCTTTCAGCTTATGTAAGCCTGTAACTTCTGAGGGACACATGGGCAGAAACTGACCTGAACATGATGGGGGTCCAGAGGACACCAGAGCCGTGACATGAAGTCACAGCGACCCGCTGTCTAATCTCACAGTTGGTTTCTGGATACAGCCACACCTGAAAGCATTAGAATGTGGGTGAGAAATGTGACATGAGCCTTATAGAATTCCCTTTTGCCTTTTTGTTGTTGTTGTTGTCCCTTAAAAAAAAAAAAGATATTTTCCATAGAAAATGATACCTGAGCAGGGTTTTGGAAAAGTGGGATCTCTGTATCCGGCCAAGACGTGTATTCTTTACGTCCCCAGCACCTCTGCCCTGATTTCAGCATCACTGGCCCTCATGGCAACCTCTGCAGTGATCTCCCACATGCTCTCTGACTACAGATTCCCTCCCCCCTCTCCATCCCATGCCCCTGCTTCTGGGAAAAGCTCATCCAGACATGCTGTTCCTCAACTGAAGGTCCCCAGTGGCGCCCAACCCTGGAGTGTGTGCTGTGCCCTCCTACTGCAACCTGTCTTCTGTCTCTCTCGTTGTTTACCTTCTTGCAGCCACCCAGGGTTCCTCAAGCGTGAATGACCAGTTTCGTTCTGGGCCTTTCCACAGGCTGCCTTCCATGCTGGAATGCTCCCTGCATCCCTCTCCCACCATTGTTCTGCTCTGCATCTTCCTCCACAAAATATTTTGAACTCTCCCGGTCAAGCTTGTGTGATTCCTTCATGCCACCTCATTGCCCTAGTTATGAGACCTGCCCGCCAACTCAAGCCCCTCTTCCCTTCTCGACTTTGAACTGTATGTTGCATTCCCATGTATATTGCATTCCCTTGCCGGGTACTACCCTAAAGTCTGGGGACCCAGCAGAAAGTAAAACAGTCACAACTCCTCCTCTCGTGAGGTTTCCTCTTCTGAAGGGGAGAAACAGTCAGCAGACACACCAGTGTCAGGTACTCTGAAGAAAAACAATGTAGGGTAACACAACAGACCATGGCGAGCTGGGAAGTGCTCGTCTACCCACAGGGGTCACGGAAGGCACACTCACCTGGGTGACACTTGGGCCAAGACCTGACTACATAGGGACAGCTAGGAAGGTGGGTGTTAGGAGAGGGTGCAGGACAGGCGGACACAGTGTGAGAAGCCCTGTGGAGTGTTTGTGAGAGGGTGGGGAGGCCCAGGGGTTGTGCAAAATGTGGGTAAATTAGTGAAAAGCCAGTGAGTAGGCTTGGGTTGGCCTCTAATGAGCAGGTGACTTTGGTGGGTGTTGGCGTGGGTTTCTTTAGAGAAGTGTCATTTCTGCAAATCTTTTCTAGCAAATCCAGAAGTGCTGTACATGTGTGCTCCACACAGAGGCTGTCTCTGTTCCTTTGTTTTCTTTTCTGTATTGGTGTCTCATTCTGTCACCCAGGCTAGAGTGCAGTGGCCTGATCATGGCTCACTGCAACCTGGATCTTGTGGGCTCAGGTGATTATTCTGCCTCAGTCTCCCAAGTAGCTGGGACTACAGGTGTGTGCCACCACACTTGGCTAATTTTTTTATTTCTGGTAGAGACAAGGTCTTGCTATGTTGCCAGGCTGGTCTCAAAGTCCTGGGCTCCAGCCATCCTCCTGCCTCAGCCTCCCAAAGTACTGGGATTGCAGAATGAGCTACTACTCTCCTTTGTTCCTTTTGGTTGACTCTTGTTTTGATCAGCACGTCACTTACTCAGC